TTTAATCTCCAGCACCATAGAGGGGAGAAAAAACAAAAAATATAGAACAAAAGACAGAGATTAATTCCCCGCTCTATAACCCTGGGCTGCATTTAGTGACTCACTTCTGACAAAGTATTAATGATGGCATAAAACATCCAAAACTGGGCCATCCAAGAGATTGCGTCTTCCAGCTTGGTGCTTTCCTCAGATCACTTGCTCTAAGGGAAGCCGGCTGCCATGTCATAATGACACACGACCAGCCAATTAGAGGGGCTCATGTGGCAAGGAGCTGACACCTCCTGCCACAGGCCAAGTGTGTGACCCACCTGGAAGAGGGCCTCCCACCCGGACAAGGCCATCAGATGACCACAGTCTCTGCAGACATTCTCCCAGCAGCCTCAGGAGAGACTCTGAGCCCAACCCTTCCTGCTAAGGCACTCCCAAAGGCCTGGTCTACAGAAACTGTGAGATAATGTTCATGAGTTTGAGCCATTAAGTTCTGGGACACTTTATTAACAGCAATTGATAAGTAATACACCAGCTTTTTGACCCTGGCACATGACTCAATTTCTCTGAGCCTCCATTTCCTTATCTATGAAATAAAGAGAATAATTCCTACCTTTCAAGGGTGTTGTAATAAATGATATACATGAAAACAGTTCTCAATCTTTACAGTATTAAAATTGAGGGCCCTAAAGTGCTTATGTTTATGTGGCTTTATCTACCAAATATCATAACATACAGCATTTTAGAGACCTAGGGTAGAAATCTAACCCTGAATTGGAGAACAGCTATCATACAACATTCAGGCAGCTGCAGATGGACTGGGAGAGACATTTTGATATAAAAATGGCAAATCATTTCTACATTTAGATCTTCCCAAGACAAACAGGTTTGAGGATTTTATTTAGAGTTTTAAGCTGAGACTTTTTTTTTTTTGTACTGGGGATCAAACTCGGGACCTTGTGCTTGCAAGGCAGGCACAGTGCCACTGAGCTAAATCCCCGGCCTTAAACTGAGACATTTAAGAAACATTTTATTATATCTGTTAAGCAATAACAATAAGAAGCCAGGTGTGCTGCTGCATGCCTATACTCTCAGCTACTTAGGAGGCTGAGGCAGGTGGATTTCTTCGGTCCAGACATTTAAGGGTAGCCTGGACAACATAGTGAGACCCTCTCTCTAAAAAATGAATAAATAAAATTATAAATTAACCTTATGTTAACAAAATGCTTTAATGAAAATAACTACATTTTCTGAAAAATAATGAGAACAGCATCATTAAAGTTTTGATAAATATCTTTATCTGGCTGAGTAGCAGGCAGCTGGATTGTGTGGCTGCATCTCCATCAATCTATTGTAATATTGGCCTTGCTAGAAAAAGGAAAGACCTCGTGTCCTCTCTGAAAGGTCTTCAGGAAACCTCAAGACCCTCTGACCACACTTTGACTACTCTGATATAGCATCTGGTAAAATAAGCATTCAATCCATGACACCTGTTGTTATTATTTGAAAATGTACCAGCTATGGAGAGGTGAGCTTAGAACAAGTGTGACCTAACAGCATGCTGAGCTGAAAGCCAGGCTCTGAGTGACAGGGAGGATGAATGTAAGTGACTGTGCCAGCTTTCTGGCCACCAGTTTCCTCACAGGTTGGGCTCAAAAGATGATCAGGTTCATGAGGTGATTTCCAATCTCAAGAGCTGCCTGAGCAGGCAACCCTCTCCTGCCCACCTCTCACCTAGCACGACCCTGCCAGGGGCTGTTTCTCTGCTTAAACTACCGTTGGAGAAAGGATCTTATGACTAAAATCATTGAGTTCCATGCTTTCATGCCCTCTGGGCTTCTCCCAGATCTACCTTCTTTGCTTCCTTGAAACATTTACAGACACGTTGGCAGCAATGCCCACATGGCCTGTAACCTTACCAGGTGCAGTTATGGGTCATGCTGCGAAGAGGATGATTGGGAGTTGAGGGCACCTCCTGACTCGCTCTGTGGAGTCCTATAGCTCTGGCTAGTACCAGGTATGGCACTTCACCCTACTTAATCACATTTCATTTAATTATTAATCCTGTACATTTGGAAAAAAAATCCAAAACGTAACACCCTGGTCTAGGGCAGTGCTATTGGAGTAGCAGGTAGTAAGCTGGAGCCCATCATGAGCAGAACCCACAGAGAGGAACACTGAAGACTGAGCACCCACAGCCCCAGCCCTTTAACCTACCGAGAGTTGAATCTTGGTGCAGTGCCTTTTCATGAATGACAATTGAAAACCTGCCACAGTTGATCCTTCTGAGACCTTTTCTTTCCATCTTTTGCTTCCTAGAAAGAAGTGCATAAGATCTCATAAAATTATGGTACATTTCTAATAGAGTTAATGAGAGCAATAGCAAACTGAAATGTTAAATTTCTTGTATCAGAGCCTGGGACAATGTAGGAGTGGCCCGTTGTCCTCAACAAAGAGGCCATACCCACCCCGTCCTTTTGGAAAGTTTCTCTGTGTGACATTGCATCCAGCACAATTTGGCCTGATAAAAATATATTTATAGAACTTAAAAATAAATGTTTTGTTCCACAGATGATGATATTTAATCATCATTATATCATACACAAAGTAGAAAATAGTAGTAGTGTAGTATGGAACTATAAAAATTTGTATTCCTCATATCTGTGTCTAAAAATCAGTTCTTATTGAGGAAGAAGCTATGCTATACATCAGTACTGGATCACATGGCTTCAGCTCTCTAAGTACAGCTGACTGTATCCAAAAAGTCCACAAGGGATTTTGCAGGTATCTGCAGAGCTAAGGCAGAGAGCCTGGAGTAATTTTAGTTGTACAGTATAGGGCCACTAGGGGGCGTCAGAAGGAAGCAAGTACAATGGCATTTATCGAGCGACTTCAACCTGTGTGCACCAGTCTCCCTCCTTCGCAGACACTCTATTCCTCTAAAGGAATTGTAATTAGTAACAGTTCTTAACTAAGCTCTTGCTCAGCCCCTGGGATAAAGTAATAGCCCCCAGGGAAAGTTGCGCATTCTGGCACGAGAGAGACTGACAGTTTCCCTGGCTGGGTATGAACTGGAGGAGGCAGAGCTCAACAAACACGCACGCCCAGCTGAGCCTGGACCTGTGGTATTGCTGGTGCTGATGAGGCTGTGTGTGAAGGGGAACCGGCTTGGGGTTCGTGGAGTTGGAAACTGGGAAGCCAGGCCCTTTCCTCTTGGAAAAATACGCTCTCCTTCTGAGTCACATATTTTCTCACACTTCATTTTCTGTCTCCACCCTCCGCCTCTGCAGCATTCAAACATCTGCTCTCCAAAGTGGAAAAGTTGGAACTCAGTCAAGCGAGTGCAGTCCAATACATGAATTGTTCTGTTCTTTTAAATTCCTTTGTGCTCTAAAATCTTTGGTCCAAAAATAACAGCCAAGGGCAGTTCTACTGGAGAAGGCTGTTTTTCAACACGTCAAAGTAGCTAAAGTATATGTTTAAATGCAGCGTTTCCATCAAAAATAATATAAAAGGATCTAAATGTTGTTACATTTAGCATCTTTACATTTAGACAGATCTGTATTACTTATCAGCAAAGTGGATAAAAGAATACATCCCCCATCAGAGAGCTATCTGATCGTCTATCCAATTAAAGAGGATATGCATAGCCCTCCCTTCAGTTAACAATTCCTCAGGAATTGCGTGCTTTACACAGATTGCAATTTGTAAATTCTATCTCATCACTCCCCACCAGGGAATCACTCGGTTGTGCTTTTATTTCTGTCATGCCCATTATAAAAGAGTACTTTGAGCTGGGTGTGGTGACACATGCCTGTAATCCAGCACTCCACACTCTGGATGCCAAGGCAGCAGGATCCCCACAAGTTTGAGGCCAGCCTGGGCTACATAGTGAGTTCAAGGTCAGCCTGAACTGCATAGCAAGACCCAGTCAGAGAGAGAGAGAGAGAGAGAGAGAGAGAGAGAGAGAGAGAGAGAGAGAGGAGAACATTTAGTCTGGAACATTGATACCTCTATCTTGGTATTTCAGTGGTTCTGTAGAATCTGGACTAGGAATTTGGAAGAAAAACATTCAGTACCTTAAATGTTTACTCAAAATGTTTTAATTTTAAATGTCAATTTTGAGACAGATTCCCAGTAAATTGCCCAAGCTAGCCTCAAACTTTCAATCCTCCTGCCTCCCGAGTAGCTAGGATTACAGGTGTGTGCCACCACAGAAAGCCTCAACATATTTTTATTGTACTTTAAAAACTTCTTAAAAATCCAAATCCAGGCTTTAACTCAATAAACAAAAACAGTAGGCCTGGGATGACTGGTTGAGTAAGCTTCATGAACCCGCCTTGTAGCAGAGAGCTCAACGCTTAGGATTGACTGGGAGGTTTGACACAGTGGGCCACACCAGATGACACAGTAATCGCAGACTCCATGATGTTTCTTTTTTTAAAGGCAGGAACTCAATAAAACACTTATGACAAGTGCCCATTCTGATGGTGAAATGCTTTCTAACAGGAAATGTAGTCTTTCAGACATTGTCTTCTGTAGCTTTAGAGTTCTAAGAGTAGTTTCAAACAGCTCCTCCCCGCTTGACTCTTGACCTTTCAAAGGTAAATTAGCCAAGCTTTGTTTAGTCCACCGAGAGCTGGGAGGTGGCGCCTCTCACTACTGATAGAAGCTACAAATGATTCTGAAGCCATGTGGGCTAACAGTTGATCCAAAAGCGCTCAAGGTGTCTCCTTAGGATTTTATACAATTTATAGCATCAGCTCTGGGAGATTTCTTGATTAGGAATATAAGGAAATCAACCCTGAGAGGAGGAATGGAGGCTTTTCTGGGGGGACTGGGGCAGGTGGGACCCAACAGGGAAGGCTTTTGCTCAGCTCAGAGAGCAGTGATGGAGGAAGCTGGTCTACTGCGGAGAATAAGAATCCCCCATCTCAGCAGGGCTCAAACAGAGCCCTCTTGTGCTGTAACTTCTTCCCCACACGGTACTTAACAGAATCACCTGCAAAGATTTAAACCCTGGGTCCTACCAGAGCTGCACTCATGGAGATGCTTCCGTGGTAGCTGGGGCAGAGACCAGTGCATTACTTTAAAATTCCCTAGGGGTTTTGATTTTCTCCCTCATAAATAAACCACTGCTAAAGAATGACTGCCAGTGGGATCTGTGCGGCCCCCCCACCCCGCACTGGCCAGTGTTTCCATGAACTGTTGCCTGGTGTTATCCCGAGACCACCTCCCCATCCATTCTGGGAATGCAGCAGCAGGAAGCCCTCACCATTCCAGGAGTCGGCGGCAGAAGGCACAGCCTGGACTCGGTGCCACCGTCTCCGCATGCTCCTGCCTTCCCGACGCGCCGCCGCCGGGGTCCTCCTGCACCACAAAACACACAGAGGTGGTTGCGATGGAGGATGTGACTCATCCCTGAGGCTGCACTCGCAGAGCCCAGCTTGCAGCACAGGCCAGGCTGACTCACTGCCGGGAGGACAGGAGGCTTTTGCTAAGCGCCTCTTACACAAGGGGCGACAGAGGAGGGCCGGGAACTGGAGGAAGACAAAGAGCCCATGCTTAATGCTGATGTCGCTCAGCGTGGCCTGGGCTTCTCATGGCCTGAGCTTCAAGACGAGAAGCTTCAGTCCTGGCTGTGCTTCTTTTCTCCACCAGATTTTAAAATCTGGGCGCAAATGAGAAAATACTTTTCCTTTTTTCTTTCCCTTAGTTTCAAATAACTCCACCCTCCACCAGAGCATGAACAGATTTAGAAAGATATTTTATTTTTGCTCTGCAGTGCTAGGGCTAGGCAAGTGCTCTACCACTGAGCCACACCCCCAGCCAGCAAGGTAATTTTTAGATCAATCTCACCAGCGGTTGAGTTCTAAAAGCTTTTTGAAAGAAATATATTCAACTATGAATTAAAACAAGGTTTAGGGACTGCCTATGTCCTACACGACTGACTGTATGTCCCTTTTTAACACAAAATAATTCTACTGCTGCACCGAAAGAGCTGACAGCTCCCACCACGTATTTCTGACTGTGCTCTTATGCCTCGTTTAAATAGAAAATAAATGTACTTTTCCTGCCATTATAAACAATGCTGGCATACATATCATTGAACACAGAACTTTTTCCTCATTTTAATTACTTCCCCTAGGAAACATCTGGGCCAAAGGTCATAGACTTGTTTGTTTGAGGACACGTTTTGTCAAATTGCTTTCCTCCAGTTTCACAGATCACACGGCCACCAACGATGTGGATGGTTCAGTTCACAGTACACAGAATTATCACTTGGAAATGCTTTTCTTAATTTAAGGGAGAGGTGTGTGTTAATTAAAGTTGTGCTATTAAAGGAAAACAATTTCTCCTTATGCTATTTATTGGTTGTATTTCTCCTATATGTGACTTTTAATTCCTATTTTTTGCCCATTAGTTTTTTGCCCATTAGTTTTTTGGAGGGCTTTGGTAATTTTTTATTGATTGATACAACTACAGTATTTGTTGATTATTCCTTTTGTGCTAATAGGTGTTCTTTACATAGTCTTTTTTATTACTTCCTACCATCCTGGCATGTTGTCTGCATTTTAATAATGAATAATCAGAGGCGCAGAGAATTTAGGTAAATTGTCAAGGACAGTAAGAGTAAGTAGCTGAGCTGGGTTTGAACCTTAAAAATGTGGTCCTATGCTTGTGTTCTTAACCCTAATTTTGCTCCTTTGTTCATTTAGAACACTTGATAGAATAAAGATTTCAACACTGAACATGATTTGCTCTTCATATTTTCTGTTGTCTGCCTTTAAAAAACATTAACTGTGGTTTCAGCTTTGCAAACATAAGTTAAACATTGTTGGAGGTTCGGCCGAAAAACAAATGATAATAGACTGAATTTCACAAATAGTCAAACATAGATAGAAACAATGAGATATCCATGTTAGCAAAGATGGAGGAAAAATAAAACAGTATCTAGGGAGGACTTCAGTTGGAGACACTGACTTTCCCCTGCCCTGGTGGGGCTCCATAAACTGGTATTGCCTTCCTAACGGCCACTTTATCAGAATGTTCACTATGTTCCCTCTGAGCCATTAACTGGAATGCTAGAATTTTATTCTAAGGAAATAATCAACTGTGGGCAAAAGTTTGCAGGTAAATGCAGTTACTTGAAACCATGTTTATAATATCAAAGGCCTGGAAAAAAATTAGTCCTTCAATAAAAGATCGTTTAAATGAATCAGAGTACATACTATGTCCATATAATGAAATATACCCCTGGCATACAGGAGATAGAGTGGAGGTATGTACATTATTTTAAGTACTCATTAAAATGAAGCTGACACTTTATTCCAAGTGATGTAGAGAGATGCCCACAATGTTAAATGGAAAATGTAGGGCCAGGGATTTAGCTCAGTAGTTCTGCTGCCTGCCCCACAAGCGCAAGGACCCGAGTTTGATCCCCGGTACCAAAAAAATAAATAAATAAATAGAAAATGTAAACCACAAAATAAAACTATGGCATTATCCCAATTTTTTAAAACCAAGACTGTAAGTATATACAATAAAAAATTAGCAAAAATTTTTCTCAGGGAAATTTTCTTCTTTATACTTTTCTCTATTATCTAATTTCTGTGGCAATAAGTATCACATTTATAATTTTAAAAATAAAGGAATTCTTTCCCTCCATTTCTACCTGTGTTTTCTTTTATCACCGCTAAGCTTATAGTATTCCCTTGCAATTGACATTCAAAACAGATTTGCATTAGCAGAATAGCGGAGATGCCTTCTATGGAGGACTGATCTTTAATACTACTTATCATCTGCCCTGGCAAGTCTCACCTTCCAAGGCTATTTGTCCCCTACAAAAAAGTCTAGACCAGCAAACTGTAAACCTCCTTATAATATTGCTATCATTCTAGATCCACGGACTTTAATCCCAGTATTTCCAATTCATTTATAACAAAATAATCTCTAGAATCCTTGCTACTCCAAGGGTGGTCTCTGAACCAGCACCTGCAGCTTGGGCAGCACCTTGGAGCTGGTGAGAAATGCAGGATTGCAGGCTCACCCCAGACCCAGGGAATCAGAGCCTGCATTGTGAAAAGATTGCAGGCTATTCCTAGGCACAGTGAAGCGAAAGAAGCCCTGGCCTAGGTCCAACAACACCAACCCAGTTTCTGCTGAGACGTGAAAAAGTAGGAAACGTCACCAGCACTAACACTGGTGCAATGAGTCTAAGAGCCTGGGGTGAGAGGTAGCTTAATGTCAGAGCTGGGGCTCAGCGTGGAGAGGCCCTAGGTTCATACACAAGCACAAAGGGTTCTTGAGGATGCCAGTTTCATAATCACATTCAAGTAATTAACAGAATGAACCCAGAACCAGGTCACAGGATGTTGTCCTGCAATCAGAAGACAGCCCAATGTCCACTTGGTCTGGCTGGTCCTGGGCAGCCTCACCCCTACCTTTAGGTGAGAAGTTTAAAAGTAAATAAATAAGGGGCCAGGGTGTGTGGGGGGGTAGTTCAGTGGTTCCACCACCTGCCTCGAAAGCACAAGGTCCCGAGTTCGATCCCCAGTACAAAAATAAAAAGTAAATAAAAGGCAAATTTGCATTTTAGAATCAACTCTTGAGCAACCTGGGAGGCCCACTTTGGGGGATTATTTGGCTTCTCATTAACTGGTGAAGTCACTGGGAATTTCCTGTGGTGCTCCTGGGCCCTAAGGTGTGATGTTGGAGGGATGGTGTGTGGCCACTAGGCCTCTTGCTCCCCATTTGCTCCCCTACTGCCCCTGGGACTCTGCCTTAGAGTTACTCCCAGCCTGGTCCAGCAGGTCTGAGCTTCTCAGCTGGGTCCCTCAGTCGCTGGGTCCCTCAGTCACTCAGGGGCAGCTGCACGAAAACCAGAGTCACAGAGTTGCTGCACCATGGGAAGTGACTCAAAATCAGGTCAGGATTCCTATAGGACCCTCAGGCACATATCCTTCCCAGAGGACTCCCCTTTCTTCAGCTGCCTCAACCCAGGACTCAGCTCAGATTCACCTCCAGCCACTTCTCCCTTAGTAACGCTGCCCTCCCACGCTTACCTTGCTCCAGTTCTATGACATCTAACACCCAGGCAAAGTGCTTACCGTGAGCCTGCCCTGCTGTAAGACCTTTATATAGAGTCATTTAAATATCATAATACCAGGAGGTAGGCATTATTGTCCCCATTATCCAGAGGAGGTTGCCTAACTTCCCCAAGATCATAAAACTGGTAAGTGACAGAGCCAGTCTTTGAACACGGGCAGTCTGGCTCCAGAGTCACATGGAATGTATTACTCCTGCATCACACTTTTGGCTTTCTATATTCATATTTAATTCTGTCTGTTAAGTATATGTCTCCCTACCTCAAAAAATTAGGATTAGAAGTTCCATTTGACCGAGCTATTCCCCTGCTGGGTATCTTCCCAAAAGAATTAAAAGAATCATACCACAGTGATATATGTGCACAATTTGTAATAGCTAAAGCTTGGAAGCAGCCCAATTGCCCATCAACTGGAGACTGGATAAAGAAGATGTGGTTTTTTTTATAAAATGGAGTACTACTCAGCCATAAAGAAAGAGAAACTAGAGACTTTTTTTTAGGTACCGGGGATTGAACTGAGGACCTTGCACTTGTGAGGCAGGTGCCGGAACCACTGAGCTAAATCCCCAGCCCTAGAATTCTTATTTCACAACAGTTGCTGTGAACTGGGACCAGGGAGAGAAGTGCAAATCTAGACCTGAGGGAGCTGCTGGGTGGATGGCCATGATGACTCATCAGACTCCCTCACACCACCTCAAGCTAGTGCAGTTCGGGCCTAGCAATATGATAAGCCATGAACCTTGGAGATTTATTGTGAAACATTGATCACTTAGGTCTTCAGTGGCTCTGGGATCCCTGTATGGAGCCTTCATGGTAAGAGGCATTCAGTCAGATGTTCAAGGTACAGAGATGAGTACCGAGGCACAGAGACAAATGAGACCCAGTCCTGTAGGAACACAAAGGTAGGGCAAAGAATTCTGCCTGAGGTGGGAGCTGGCTACCAAGGGTGCAAAAACACCCTACCTCTGAACCCGGTCCTCAAATGAATGAGATTTTGCCAGGCAACCAAGTGTTTGGAGGAGTTAAACATGCTTCTTTGGAAGAGCTAACATTTATATAATCTCATCTTTCCCATAGCTTGAACAAAAACCTCATTTAAGTTTTGAATATCAGCCTCAGGTTATGTCTTCAAATATAGTATGAAACTATGAGGTCAATTTAAGGTAATTATTTAGATGATTCCGTCTCTCCAAATTGAATTTGAATTTAGTCTGAAATGTTCTGATAGTTCAGCCTACAAAAACAAAACATGTAGAACGATGGT